GGGCTGTCCCGGCGGCAGCCGGCCTCCTCCGTGCTGTGTTTCTGTGCGCGAAGCAAGGCCGGGTCCTGATTACATCGGGTGGGGGCGGCATAAAGACCAGCCGCACAGAAGAGGGCCCCTCACTCGGGCTCGGTCACACCCGGGCCGAGTGGACTCACTGGCCCTGCTGCAGGGAAGGCAGTCCCGCAGGTGGGAAAACTCTGTCGTCCTCAACTCCCAGGAGGGCCCAGGTCACCAGTGTGGCGAGGGGGCTGCTGGGGCCTCAGGAGGGTTCTTAAAGGCTGCTGGAGCTGAGTTCCCAGGACATTCTCCAAAGGGGTAGGCCCTGCCATCACAGCCGCCGTGGCTGCGAAGGACCCGGCAGAGCGGGTGACAATGGGCCACACCAGGAGAAGACACGGATGTGGCCAGGGGACACAGCCCCCTGAGTGGCTAGTGGCTGAAGAAGGGTTCTCTGGAGAGGTGGTGCCTCAGACAGACTTTTTAAAAGAATAAAATGCAATGAATAAGTAAAAGTAAGCCAAGCAAAAGCAAATAAGCAGAAGAGGAGAGGGCGTCCCAGCCACAGCCCTGGTGCGGTTGGTGGTGGCGGCGAGGTCGGGGGCTGAGAAAGCTCAGGCGGTCTGGTGACCAGCCACGGGAGGAAGGAAGCCACACGGGACACGTGGCCAGGGCCCCTGGGCAGGATGTGGCACCGACGCCGGGCGGGCCCTGCCACGCCGGATCCACCCAGAGCACAGATGCTGATGGTTTAAACAACGGGCTCACTAACCCCGAAGTGCTGCCTGGGCACAGGAGCAGGCCGTGCGGGCGCCGAGGTGAAACCGCAGGGCCTTGGGACCCTCCCGTCGAGGAGTGAAATCAGAGAGCAGAATCATGGCTCTCCCGGGGGGAACCAAAGAAGAGTGTTGGCGGAGCAAACTGAGCCGATCCTGCAGCTTTGGGGGCTGGGAACCGCTGCCCGGGACAGTCCGGCAAGGTCAGCCCTGAGGCGGCGCTTCCAGACCTGAGTGTGTGCCGGACTCACCTGGAGAGCAGTTCAGTCGCTGACCCCACACCAAGTCTCTGACTCACGAGGTCAGGACTGAGGCCCCCAAATTTACCCCTGGAATAAGTCCCAGGTGGCCCCGGCACTGGTGGCCCAGGGAACTTTGCCCCAGGGAAGTGAGGACGTGGTCCAACAGAGACGGTGAGGCTGCCTGCGCCCCAAGAGGAGGAAACCGGGGCGCGTGGTTGGAGGAGGAGGCCGGGAGTGGGGGTGGAACACAGACAGGATTCGCACAGGGCACCTCACGTGGCCTCGTGAACCACCGCCCCGTCGCCTCCAGCGCTGTCGCCCGGCCCAAGGCAGAGGCCAGGCGGCACCTGGCTCCGCTGTGGCCTGCACCTTTCTCCTAAATTTTCCACCCTGCCCTGTCCCTGCGCCCCCAACCAAAGCAGCCCTGAGCACCAACCAACCAGCCTTCCCCGTACACCACAGGTGGGAAACGAAAGGCCGGGGGCCGAATCCCGCCTCCACCTTGTTCATCCGGCCCGGCGCCGTGTTTCCACCTGGCGGCAGCGCCGAGCTCTCGCTCAACTGTTAAGGGCAGTTACCTGTACACAGCCCTACAATTGCATTTGGCCCTTCGAAGGCCACCGAGAGGCTGATGTGGCCCCCGGTGGAAATGAGTTTGACACCCCTGCCCTGAACGAAAAGAAATCTAAAAATCCCCCTTGGTGGAGCCAAAGCAAGGCTAGGAATTGCCACGAGGAAATAAAAGTATAAAAGCAAAGAAACCGAAGCGTCCCCAGGCACACAGTTCTCCTTTCATCTAGAAATGAAATGGAGAGGCCCAAACAAAGGCGCGCACGACAGACGGTGCAGCCCACAGGTGCTCTCCGCTGAGCTGCGTCCCTGCCTGCAAAGATGGCTGACGCCCACGCCCCACCCCTCGGACCGGGGCCTCGCTGGGAATGGGGCTCTACAGCCGCAACCAGGTGAAAGGGAGGCCGTTCCTGTGGGTCCTGCTCCGAGGGGACTGGTGGTCCACCGTTAAGTGTATGCGCTTGTTTAGGGAGGGGCACACTTTCCACCAGACACAGCCCACAGGGGCCAGAACGCCGGGTCAAGTTTATCGCAAATCCCCACCCCCAAGCCTGTCATTGCAGCCCCTGTGAGGGGGGTGGTCGTGGCAGCAAAGGAAGGGCTGGGCAGGAGGGCGAAGTCACGGGAGCAGCCGCTGCGGGGCGGCCAGGGCGTGGGGACTGGGGGCCGGGCCTTGGGGCCAGGACAGAGGGACCTGCTGGTGGGTTTGCTCCCTCACCACTGACTCAGCTCTCGCTCTGTCCTTCCTTGTTGCAAAGGGAAAGCTTAAGTTCTTCAAGGAAACTGTGCGGCATCTTCCCTGGGCAGTGTCCTGGTTTCCACCCCATGCCCAGGCAGCGGGGTGCGCCTCCCAGCTCCCCTCCACAGTGGGGCAGCTCTCATTGTTGCCTCTTCGCACCGGAGAACGGATTCCTGGGCCTGGTTTACCTGACCCCACCCTACGAGGCCAGGAGGACACACCCCAGTCACAGTGTGGGGAACAGGAGGGCCCCAGCAACCCCTGCGCCGCCACAGGCCACCCACCTCCGGAGCAGCGGGGGGCGAGCCTGCAGCTGTCAGGTGCGGGTGGGGGAGCTCCACAGCAGGCCCCCAGGTAAAGGGAAGCATTCCAGTGCTGCTGGAGAAGGGCCCCCAGCCCAGCACCAAGATAGTAGGGGCACGATGGCTCCCCAGCTGGCCCCGGCTTCTGCAGGAGGATCACCTGTCAGGGGTGCATTTTCTCTCCTGAAACTGAGCGGTGCAGTTGAGTGAGGGCTGCCACAGGGGATTCAGCACCGGTGTGAGTGTGAAATCGCCTCACCCCGGCCCTCCCGACCTGCTCCTAGGATTCATCATGACCCACTGTGGCACCGGGGTGACGAGGGGACCCCCTCAGGGGACTCCCAGACACTGCAGCCCAGTTCCTGACTGAAGTTTGGTTCTCGGCTGTGAACTGCGACCCTCACTGGGGGCAGCCCCACAGGCAGATGCCCCCCATCAGAGGCGTCCACAACGTGCACCTGCGTCTGTCTGCCTCCCTCCCCACCATCGTGGCCCAAGCCTGTGCGTGGGTCTCGGTGTCAGTGACAACTTAGCCAGTGTGACTGTCAGCAAGCTTGGTCACGAGCGCTGTGCATACGTTATGTTCTGCATCGCACACCAGCCAGGCCGCGGGCGGAATGCCTCCCGACTCAGGCGGGCACTGCCGTCTCTACCTCCCAGGCGCGTTAAGGGGTGGCTCCTGGACCGAGGCTACTAAGTGATGACTCAGCCCTTGTGCCCAGACCCACCCCTTGCCCGAGTCTGCATAACCTCAGCGCATGCTGCCCCCCACCCCCGCCGCCCCCGCTCCTCGCCGCTTCAGAGAGCAACCCCAGCGAGTCCAGGTGGGAGGCTGGCCTTTCCATGCCTGGGACGTCTCCCACAGACCCACCCTCAAACCTTTTCATTACGATCACATGTGCAGTTCCTGACAGGAGTTTAACTTCATCAGAAAAAAAAAAAGGAAAAGAAAGAAAACAAAGCTGAGGTGCCTGTGAGGTTTGGGAACCCCAGTTTCAAGGGGGTCATTAGCCCAGGGACATGCCACTAGTAAAAGCCCCCCCCCGTCCCCCCGTGGATTCATTCTCTCCTCTGAGGCTGCCAAGTTCACCTGTCTTGGGCACCCAGGGTGCACACAAGTAAAACTCTGCCCCTGTCCCCAGGGCTCTTCGTGGGGACCCTGAGTAAGGACGTGGTCACCACAATCCAACGTAGCCAGCCCTGTGAGCAAGGGCATGCGACAGGCCAGCAGCCAAGCTGGCTACACTCCGTCCGCGAGGGCAGAGTCCGCAGTCCCTCCGCCCCGTGTAGCCACGAGGTGGATGGGTCATGTAATCTCCCGTGGAGGACGCAGGCTCGTGGGCTGTCTTCCCTGAGTTAAAGACAACTAGAGGTACCTGGCTGTAGTTCTCAGTGCTGCAGCTAAGATTCGTAGCCACCTTGGGAGATTTTTCATGTGATAAGCATTAGGGCAAATAGACTCACGAGGCCCTCGAGGGACACTGGTGGAGTCCACGCTGCCGCCTCACAGGAGGAGCCGGTCCCTCCATGCCCACGTCTCTCAGCGTGGCCCTGGCACTGGGCCCGATGCCACGCAGGAACTGACCCACGGCCACAGCAGGGAAACTGGAGCTCACAGGAGAACAGAAATGTAGGCAGGCAACTCAAAGACCTCAGTGTGTTTATGAAAATGTAGCTGAAACACCTGCAAGTGGCAAAGAAAAACTTTGGGGCTTGGCGGGACTCCTCCGGTGGGTTGCTGCCCTAGGGCCAGTGAATGGTCCCAAGTCAGCGTTTCTCAGGAACCGAGCCTGCGTTTTTCTGGGATTGCAGCCCAGGCTCCAACTGTGCAGGGACTTAGGACCTGTGGGCAGGAGGCAGGCCCCGGCGGGCCCCGACCCCCTTTGAGGAGCACTGGCCACGCCTCAGGCCAGCGTGTGAGCTACTCCACGTCATTGCATCCTCAAGCACACTCTTGGCCGGGTCACAGGTGAGGACACTGATGCCCCCACGTGGTAACTTACTGGGTCCTACAGCTCACAAGTGGCAGAGCTGGGCCTCGCCCAAACAGGGAAGGTTCCAGAGGAAGGTCTTCCGAGGCCCAGAGTCCACCAGTGCTGCCCCGCGCAGCCCTGACGGAGCCTCCCTGAGCTCCAGGCTCCAGGTCCCCCGGCTCTGCAGGCCGCCAGGGGGCACTGCCCGAAGCACCGCAGCTGCAGGCTGTGTCCTGAGAGCTGGAGCACTCGCCCTCCAGCCGGGAGTGCCCCCACCTGTGGTGGCAGCTGTGCTCCTGACGCGGCCCTCCTCCTGTATATAAGGGAACCTTCATCACACCGCAGCCGGCTCGGAAGGGACGTGAAGGGCTTACCGCCGGTGCGTTGCTGGTAGTGGGATGTGGCTGCGGTCCCTCCTGCTCTGTCTTCCCCTGGCCCTGGCCGTGAGTGGCCCGCGTGAGCCCAAGGCACCAGAAGATGCTGGCGAGCTCCTCTGTGGGCCCCAGGGTCTTCGGTTCACGGTGCACCCTCTCGACCCGGACACGGGGACGCCTCCCACCCTGACAGCGTGGGGTAAGTCTGACGGCAGACCTCCCGAGCCGGGCACTGGCTCATTGCCACGGCCACCTGAAACCGCCCTCCAGCATCCTGTCCTACGGTGTCCTCATTGGCAAACTCTGCAGCTTCTCTGCAGACATGTCACTTGTCAACTCCTGAAACGGGCTCCCTCTGGTTCCTCTCTCCGTAGCAGTTGCCCTTTGGGATTGTCCTAACCCTGCACAGTCACCACGGTGACTGACCACTTGCGCCCTCTGCTCCTCCCCACCCCCTAGATAAAGCCGGGCTGCTCCACAGGCTGAGCAATGACTCTGGCTGTGGCGCCTGGGTGACGGAGGGCCCTGGCAGCTCCGTGGTGCTGGAGGCGTCCTACAGCGGCTGCTTCTTCACCGACTGGGTGAGTATGGCCCAGGCATCAGGAAGACCAGGCATCGGGAAGACCGAGCCCCGCCCAGTGTCCCCACCCAGGCTGACCCGGGCCCATGTCTCCAGGACTCCCAGCACTTCATGCTGGTTGGAGTTGAAGGCCCAGCAGCAGCTGGCCACAGGTCGACGGTGAAGACCAGGCTGCTCAAGTGTCCAGTGGCTTTCCCAGGTGCGTGTGGGTCACTCCCACCTGCTCTGTGCAGTGACACTGCCGCTCAAGATGGATAGTCCGCAGCCCTCCCTCCACACACACCCTTAGGACAGTGTCCAGCTGCGTGAGCTCAGCGGGGTCCCTCGGCAACCCTCCCAGAGCCCTGAGTGCCGTCCTGCCCACAGCAGTGAGCCTGGCCAAGGGGCCCCTCACGGTGGAGTCCAACAGGAACTGGCCCAGGACCGGGCTTTCTGGGGCTTGAGGAGGAGGGCCGGAAAGGTCATGGAGGTGGTCAGGAGGACTTGGCCTCCGAGGGCCATCTGAGTGCGGCCAGCCCCTCTGGGAGCCCCTTGACCGCCTGGCTGGGGCGTTAGCCAGGACCTTGGCTCCCGCAGGTCTTGCCTCATGATCTGGGAGCCCCTTTTAGTCAGGACAGACACCCACATGTAACTCACTCTGCTCACCCCTTTGCTACTCAGAATGCGCCGCAGAGGGTTACGCTGATAAGACGCAGTGACCAGGCACCATCCCAGCCCCCTGGCCAGCCCCAGGTCTCAGACACCAGCAGGGACCCCGTGGGCCCCAGCGGAGAGGTGCTCCTGGGGAGAGCCCCTGCTTCTCCTGACCTCGTCAGACTCTCTTTTTTCAAAAAACACTAACTTCAGGGACTCCTGCCAGGCAACCTAACATTTGCTTAACTCCCTGGGACGGATGTAATCTGGTGTGCAACGTGGCCCTCTCTGCCCCACCAGTCTGATGTCTGGGCACCCTCACGCTTGGTAACAAGATCTGTCTCGTGAGCCGACCTCTGCAGCCTGACTTGACTGGCTCCTCTCCCCACGTAGTCCTGAGTGCTCCAGGTGCCGCCCTGTGTGACCCGGTGCCTGGGGGGGAAGGGCTGCCGTGTGCCCCTCCCCCCACCGCCCCAGGAGACTGCGGGAGGCTGGGCTGCTGCTACAACGCCACGGGGGATTCCTGTTACTACGGCAACACAGGTGCGTGTGGCTCCTGGGGAACCAGCTGAGGAAAGTGCCCTTTACCTGCCACGGAGCCTGGAGGAGGTCTGCCCCCACCCTCCAACCGCAGAAGGCGGAGGCTAAAGACGCCCCGTGGCCGAGCCCCCCTGGCCCTGCAGAGAGCTTTCTGTGGCTTCTGTGGTCCGAGCTCCCAGGCGACCTCAGGAAGTCGCACCCAGGTGTGGGGCGTGCCCCCCCACCGCAGTGCTGTCTGGATGAGCCTTTGTCCAAAGACTTCGTGCCCTCTCCAAGTCAGGCTCTCAGGCTTTCTAACGCCAATGACCCTCGCTGAGTGACCCCGGCCACACTTCCTCAGCTCTGAAAACACCCCATCGGTCAGGCAGAGCGGGCCCCACTGTGCCCGTCTGCGGGTGAAGCCGCAGCCAGGCGGTTACTGTCCCTGAGGCCCCACAGCAGGTGACGGAGGCGAGAACGAAGCCCCGGTGCTGACCCGGAGCCCAGTCGAGCTCTGGGCAGCTGAGCTGGCGTGGAGGTCACAGCCAGGGACGTCACCTTCCCCAGGGTGGTCGCAGCGGCTAAGTCAGACTCCATCTAGCTGCCCCGAGGCAGAGAGGGCCTGCCCCCAGCCCCGCCCCTCTGTGTTCCAGTGACCTCGCTCTGCACCCAGGATGGCCACTTCTCCATCGCTGTGGCCCGGCACGTGACCTCTCCCCCCCTACTCTTGAACTCTGTGCACCTGGCCTTCGGGAATGAGAGTGAATGTAAGCCGGTGATGGCCACAGCAGCCTTTGCCCTGTTCCTGTTTCCATTTACTTCCTGTGGCACCACGAGGCGGGTGAGGACCGCCGGCCTTTCGCCTTGCTCCTCTCCTAGCCCCGTTAGGCAGGTGGGAAACGCCCTGGTGGCCGGGGGAGGGCTCTGCCCATGGGGGCCGGCACAGACCCCTCTTCCCACACTGCCTGGGCACCCAGCCGGGGCCACGCCCCCTCCTGCCCTTTGTCCTCAGGGAGGCCAGGTGGCTGCTCCCAGGTTGGTGGAGGGTGCCTGGTCTGCCTCTGCAACTCGCAATGGCAGGGCAGCATCGCTGAGCACTAGACCCAAGCAGGCCCCGAGGGGCGCGGCTTTGGGCCAGCAGCAGTGACCCGTCTTCTTTACTGCCCCCCCCTCAAGATCACTGGGGGTCAGGTGGTGTATGAGAACGAGCTGGTGGCGGCCAGGGACGTGAGAACGTGGAGCCAGGGCTCTATCACCCGCGACAGCACCTTCAGGTAAGGTCTCAGCTCGCCTGCCCCTGCTTGACCAGACCCGGCGCAGCTCGGAGGCCCCTTTCTCACGGGACCGCCTGCCTGGGCCGGGCTGTGCGGCCTCGCTGGCCACGCCCACGGGCCTGCTGGCCCAGCCGGAGCTAAGCCCCAAGCTCAGCCGCATTCTCCTTCACTCAACACATCTGTGCCTCGCTCTGTCCTTTCCACCGCCGTGGTCCCTGCGGTAGCAGAAAGGGTCCCTTTGGGTCAGACAGCCTACTTCGAGCTGCAGGAGGACAGTGAGGGCACTTAAACTGGACGTCGTGTGTGACCTGTGCGAGCCTTCTCCAGCCTCATGTCCCCACAGTCTCAGTCCCACCCTGTCTCTCCACCCGGGATCGCCCTTCTGTAGTCTTCAGAGGACCTCAGACTTCCTCCGCATGCTGTTCTGTGCCGCCCCCCGTGCCTCAGCCCCAGTCCTTCATCTTCCTTCACGTCGCGTCCCCATGAGACGGTCCCCAACAGCTTCTCCACCAAACGCACCCGTTTCTCCACAGGCCCGTGTCCATTGTGCACCCTTCCCCACTGACCCCCCTTAACAAAGGTTCCCCCAACTCAAATAGGGGTCCCCACGGCCAGGGACCATGCCCGCGGCATTCACAAACCTGCCCCACACCTGGCGCCGAGTGGCATCCCAGGGACGGGGACGTGGCCGGGCCCCTGGAGCTGGCCAGCCGCTCGGTTCTCTGCAGGCTCCGGGTCAGCTGCACCTACACCGTGAGCAGCCACACCCTCCCACTCCACGTCCAGTTGCTCGTCTTCCCAGAGCCCCCTCCTCAGACCCAGCCTGGACCCCTCACTCTGGAACTTCAGATCGCCAAAGGTAAGACCCTCCTGGCCGGAGCATCCAGCCCGCAGTCTGAGTCCTGTCACTCTTCTGGGCATGAAGACCCTGCCTTGGTCACAAGACACTTGCTAGAGGAGTTAATGTGGGTGATGGTCTGTCCCAAGCAGCCCAGAGTGGCCTAGCTCTGTCCCCACTGCCGCCCCTCGTCTTGGCCCCTTGCAGATAAAAACTACAGCGCCTACTACGCTGCTGGTGACTACCCGGTGGTGAAGTTACTGCGGGACCCCATTTACGTGGAGGTCTCCATCCGTCGCCGAACCGACCCCGACCTGGGGCTGCTGCTGCGTCAGTGTTGGGCCACACCCGGCCCGGACCCCCTGCAGCAGCCCCAGTGGGCCCTGCTGGTGAGGGGGTGAGTGCTCCTCCGCACACCTGTGGCGCAGCCCCTCAGGGAGCCCCCCTGACTGTGGTGTCTCTGCCAGATGCCCCTACACCGGTGACAACTACCAGACCCAGCTGATCACTGTCCAGGAAGCTGCAAGCCTGCCCTTCCCTTTCCACTACCAGCGCTTCAGCATCTCCACCTTCAGTTTTGTGGACTCGGTGGCCAGGCGGGCGCTCAAGGGACCGGTACGATGCCTCCTTCCGTGCTCCCCAGCAGGGCTGGGGCCCCTGCTCACTCGTTTCCACGTCAGGCCACCCTTGGCTGAGGCTGGCTTATAATGCTGGCTGTTGGTGCCACCTCAGAGCAACCTTGATACAGGTGACGTGAGTGACGTTCATGGACGTCACCCTCGTTCTCTGGTGCCACTGCGATACAGGCTTAGGCTACAGAGACTTTCTGACTTGGCTTTTGGTGTCCTCCCCACCAGGGGGGAACAGCAGTCCCAACCTCTCCTCGTGATGGGGCTACAGCGGGACCCCACTTCTCTTGGCTCCCAGGTGTACCTGCACTGCAGTGTGTCCATCTGCTGGCCCGCAGGGGCGCCGTCCTGTGAGACCTGTCCTGCCGCCAGGAGTGAGTATGGGAGCTGTCGACACTCAGTCCCCAGGGCTAAGCTGTGCCCCGTGTGCAGATGACTCAAACAGGGACCCAGCCTACTGCTGAGGCTTCACCAAGTACTGTTACGATGACTAGAACAGAAAGGGGACTGGCTTCAGAATCCTGGGCCTTTGAAATATAAGCTCAAAATCCTTCTACCTGTCAGCCTGAGCTTTCTCCACATGAATTTTCATTAGGCCAGGAGTCAAACTGATTCATGGCCTACATCTGGCCTGATTAAAACCAAATTCCGTCCGGATAGCTCACAGATGTGGGTCTCTCCACCTGCTTGAAGGCGGGCCTGGTGCGTGGCCTGAAGATCTACAGGTGGATGTGACTGAGGTTTAGAACATGAGCTCTAGCTGGCCACGCCCAAGGACCCTGCTGGGCGTGTGCGCACACACACACACACACACGCCTGCTTCCACCTGGCCCACGAACACTTACCTGATTCATGAGCCCCGAAGCTTTAAGTCCCTGCTAGCAAAAAAGAAAAAACCTTATAGTAATGATAGTTTTGGGGAAAAAATAGTACATTAAACCCTGGCTGGTGTGGCTCAGTGGATTGAGAGCTGGGTTGGGAACCAAAAGGTCACCAGTTGGATTCCCAGTCAGAGCACACATCTGGGTTGCAGGCCAGGTCCCCAGCAGAGGGCGTGTGAGAGGCAAGGACTCACTGATGTTTCTCTCCCTCTTTCTCCTTCCCCTCCCCTCTCTCTAAAAATAAGTAAGAAATAAAATCTTTTTAAAAAGCTACATTAAGAATTGGATATTTAAGTCCACTGATTCGTACAGTCTACACTCTTTGGGGAGTTAAATTTACATTAACTTCTCCAAGGGCCGATAACTGGCGAAAGCCGCTGGGCTCAGACAAAACTCTGCTGCCAAGTCATTCCCGTCTCCTGCCACCGCGGGGAAGGCTCCTGGTATCGGCCTGCTAGTGTCTAAGCTCCGCTTAAGACAGACTGGCAGCTCGGAGGCAGCCCAGCATCGAGACCTCATCCGTATTCCCAAACTGGCGGAACGCAGGTAACAGCCACACAAAACACACAGACCTCAAATACTGATGAGGTCCAACACATACGTGTGAGTTTTCTTAAGGACCTGCACATACCGAGGAACCTGGCCTTGTATTAGACTCGCACGTCCTCACTCCCCACAACCCCAAGCTCTCCTCTCCGACAGGAAGAAGAAGCTCCGACACCCACGTTCACAACGGTACTGCCAGCATTTCTAGCGAGGGTCCCATGATTCTACTCCAAACCACTGAGGACGCTTCAGAAAAGCCCCATGAATACTCAGGTGAGTAGAAGACCTAACTAGCTACCTGAACCACTCATCAAACCAAAGCTCCTTCCTCACCTATCTCCTCTCCCTTACATCATCAGTGAGCATCTCCAAAAAGGGGACTAGCTTGTTCTTTTGATGGCTAAAGACTGCTGGTCTTGGTCAGGATGCAGCTCACTGCACTGACCTCTCTTTCTTTCATTCCCCAGGCTCTCCTGGCGACTCCCGAGCTCTCTGGGTGGCCGGCCTCTCCGGGACCTTAATTGTCGGAGTCTTGTTCGTGTCCTGCCTGGCGATCAGGAAGCAGAGATGAGTCACTCAGACCTCATGTGCTAATAAAACTAGATTCCACCAGCGGTCTGTGCCTGGCTTCTCATTTGAAAGGCTGGTTGCTTCAGATCAGCTCTTCACCTGTAGTCGGCATCTCATCTCTTCAGCTTGGCGGGGTGGGCGTGTGTTTTACCCAAGAATAGAACAAAAACCATGGTACCCTATGTTTGTATATAAGCCTATCTTCTGAACATAACATTTGAGTAGAATTTCACAGTGGACAACTCAAACAGTATATATAAGAACTAGATATTTCAGACTGAGCAGATAATTTTATAAGTTTAAGAGATGTGTTTAAGAAAAAAATGCTTCCACAAGATCAAACTAAGGCAGAACTAGTCAAGAGCTAGTCCTGGGTCTTCGAGACCACTGGCTCTCAAACTTGAGGGTGGATGGAAACCCATGTCTGGCGTCAGCCCCAGAGTTTGATTAAGTGGGTCTGCACTGAGACTTAAGAACTTGTATTTCTAGCCATTTCTCAGGTGATACTGATTGTTCTGTTCCAAAGACACACTTTGAAAACCAGTGTCTCCACCAGGAAGAGGAGCTATTTGGTGTTGGATTGGTTAACTGGAGGTGGCTTGATAAGAGGCTTAGCTTGAACCAGAACCAAGTAACTCCCTAATGTAGCCATTCTTCAGACTAGTAGAATACAGCAGGGAGGCTTCTCACGGCACGTGTCCCCACAGACTGCCTGGTAGCTACGGCCGTGGGTCAAGTTCTAGGGTAATCTCTACTTCTTCACCCGGAGCTCTGTGAGCTGCCTTGGTAAAGAGGGTTTCCCCGCTCACCACAAGGAGGAACTTTGGCTCACTGGACCTTTCAGCAAAGTAAAGGTTTCTCATCTTGGCTTTTAAACAGCCGCTCTGCGGTCAAGCCCGCCCCACTCCAAACTGCTCAGCAGGGACTGAGTGTTGGCTTACTTGACAGGGACACCACACACTGCTTCGGGGACAAGAACTATCCCAGAGGCTTGAAACACTTGTGTCTCATGAAAAGCTGGTAAGGTGGGCACTCGTCCCCAACTTCAGGGTCTGGGGCAGAGAGGTCAAATAACTTACCCTCTAAAACAAAGCAAGTGCATGCATCCTTCTAAATGAAGCTCATTCGATAAACCAGTATCACTTGGTATAATAATAGTGGACCTGGGCCACGAAGTCCAGAACTTGTGCTTCTACTTCCATGTTCTGAAGGTCCTCAGCTCTCCACTGGGACCTGTTTCCAGTGGCACAGGTCCAGCTTGCAGGGCCGTGAGCGCTGCGTCTAAGCTAGACGCCTAGACGCCGAGGGCTGCCACTGCCGAGTGCCCTCCACGTGCTAAGGCCCAACGTTCCGAAGGGGAAGCGGCGGCTTTCCGTTGCAGTGGAGGTAGCGGAGAACTGGCCATGTAGCAACTGAAGTGTGCTGTTAATTAGCAATCCTGAACAGATAAAGTGTTTTACTATTTTAGCTGTCTTAGATTAAATACAATTTCATATAACTAACGTTAGATTTTTTTCTATATCCACTGTGTATCAATGGCAAATCTCAATTTTCAGGTTCAATAGTAACTAGCAAGAGCACATTTTTAGGTTTTATAGAACTTGCAGTTGAAAAAGACTCCAACCCAAATTACTCCAAAGTTTTTAGTAGCTGAGTTATATGTTTTAAAATTTAAATGTTTTGTGCTTGCCACGTTCTAAGTGTCTGTTGCTGCATTTAGCTAGAAGTTGCATGACTGAGGTCACTCAGTTCAAACACACGCTGGCCGAGCAATGTGACGAGCTTGATACTGTGTACAGGGGGCAAAACCAGGAAAGCTGCCCCAGCCACTGAGGCAGACACATGTCAGGCAGTGAACAATAGGAGCACTGCCAAGGCACGTATCCTCCTCTGAAAAACCAAGTACATCAGGTCACGAGTTCCTGGTCACGAGGACCCCACACTCCTCCAAACCAAGCAGGAGTGTGGGGTCCTCGAAATGAAACCTATCTGAAAACCAGGTCCCTTGGTTTCCCACAGACGACGGCAGCCCGCTCCAGCAGAACGCCTGGCATTTAGGTGACTTATTCGGTGGCATCTTGTCTACTATTTGCCCAGTGAAGGGTGGTAACACCTACATGAAATCTGGATGAAACTAAAAAAATCCTAGTGCTTCAGCCTTGACCTAGAACCTGCTGGATTCTCTCTGGTGGGGCTCCTCAGACTGATTATATTCATGGCCTGTGAACTTCCAACAGGACCTAGACTTATTTCCCAAAGACATTTGACCACGGAACCCCTTTTCGGAGAGTTTTACGGTAGCGACGTTCTGCGGAACATGCTTCAGTAGATGGAGTGTGTCTGGTTTCTAAGCCAGGAATCCTTGTTGGAACCTGGCCTGCTCAGGTAGGAGAAAGGACCTTCTCAGAGAGAAGCGGCAACAATGCGCCTGTGAATCGAAGAGCCCGGCCGGAGCTACCTCGCTGGGGTTGAGTCCCTGCTCTGAAGTGAGGTGTCCGTTGGGGCCAGTAATTCGAATGGCTTATTGGGGTCACATTCACTGAACGAGGCTGGAAACCTTGTTATCGCCGGGGGCCCTTTCTTTAACTGCACTCCTTCTTGGCGTGTGTCTGATTTTAGCCGTTCTCTGATAGCTTCTTACACACGACCCCCACCGCCACCCCAACTCTGCCCTCCCTCCACCATGTCCTCCTTCACTTAAACTGAGCTCTGGTTAACAACTCTCTACCCTCCACCTGAAAGGCTGTTTAAATCCAGTGGGAATAACACAATTCATTCTTATAGGTATTGGAGTTTGTGTGGATAAAATTGCTAATTTTTTTAAACAAAGTCTCAAGACTTTTAAAAGATTTGTATATCTTTAGAGAGTGGGCAGAGCGAGAGGGAAGAGCGAGAGAAACATCAGTGTGTGGTTGCCTCTTGCACAGCGCCTGCTGGGGGCCTGGCCCACAACCCAGGCATGTGCCCTGCCTGGGAATGGAACCAGTGAGTCCTTGGTTTGCAGGCCAGCACTCAATCCACTGAGCCACACCAGCCAGGGCAATAAAATTGCTGATTTTATTTCTTTGTGTGCCTGCACTGGTTTATCTGGTATTCATGTGACAACATGGCCTCCTTTCCTCCTGGCTGTCTGAGGTTCCCTTCAGCACCTTCAGCACCTTCAGCAACCCCAGGTCCTGCCTTTTGAGTCACTACCCAGCTTGAGCGGCATATGCCATTCTCTGTCACTTTGAGAAGTGATGCACGTGGCCAGCTTTGAGAACTTGTATGTCTGAGTATCCCCCGCCCGATTTACCCAGGTCCCAAACTAGAGACGAGGAGAGCCTGCCCTCTGTCGAAGGTATTGCTCTAGTGACTGTGGCATTCAGTGTTGCAGTCTGTCATGTGACTGCTGGTCCTTTGTCAAGTGTCCTGTCCTTGGGTATTTTATAGGCTTGGACTTAGAATATTCTCTGTCACCATTCTAAGTATCATCAGGGTTTTTGTTGGTATCTGATTGACGGGGACAAAATCTAGGGGGTCAATGGCTTTCAACCTGAGGGAAAGTTCTTATTTCTGATTTACTCTCTTCTACCTGGCTTTCTGGGATTCTTCTTTGGCTAGTAAACAACTTAGTTAATGTTTTTATTTTCACCTTTGTATGTCTTTGGGTTTCTCCCTCTTAAGACTTGTTTTTTAAATAAATGATTCAATTGTAAATTTAAATTCTGTTATTTTTATATACTGTTATTTAGATGCACAGAAGGATGAGAATAACTAGAGTTTTCCCTTCTTTGTGGAGTTCATGCGGGATATGCATGAGACCCTGCCCATAGAGTGAAACACAGTGAAAAGGACGTGTGGACTCCAGCCTGAAAGCATCGCCAAAACAAGCTCCTCTGCAGCTCTTTGCTGACCCCACCCACTAACTAATTTCCAGGTGAAATGATCTCAAATTGCCTCTTTACTTCCTTCAGTTTTCTTTGGTTTCAGTGCATGACTTACGGAGACTTATAGTAATGTTGTATGACTTCTCATTCAAATACAGATCTTGCTTGTCCTGCATTTTCCTCTTGGGCCTTTTCTCTTTATTCTTAGTATTCTTCCAATATCACTCTTGTCCATTCACAAGAGGGTAAAAAAGCCACTTGAAAGGAAGTTCTGTGCAGATGTGGAACTCATCAGCTCTAACTTTCTACCACAAATGATCAACACTCTTATTTCTTCCCCATTTCAATGGAGCTATTTGTTCAAAGTAACACAGGAAGAGTTATGTTCCTAATGCTAAATTCTGTCTTCTAAGGGGGCATAACACCCCTTACTTCCAAGCATCTCTGGCCCAGGTCAGCCCGTCCACTGCCAGGACGAAAGGGTAAATCTCCTAGTCATCTGACAAAGGGATCAGGAGTTTCACAGCTTCTGATGATTGCTTTACTTTCTGACTGGGTCAGCATATAAAGTGGCCTGATGCTGTATACACTTGCTGAATGTGTATACATGTAAATATCTGTCTAACCACCACCTTGAGCAGAGAGGGGATGCATGCAGCAGCCCCAGAACCCCAGGCAGCAACTCCGAGAGGTAAGGCCCAGTCTGAGTTCTGAAAGCACAGATTAGGTGTACTTGTTCTTGAATATCTTAAATAGAATAAATCATGCTCTGCTGTGCTTTGTTGGGAACCGCTCTGCCTGGTTTCAGGAGTTGTAACTGCCCCCCAGGGCTAAGGATGACTGGGCCACCTCCCAAATGCGAGCCCCAAGGAGACAAAGCTAGTCTCTGCTTCATCCCCGGCCCCAGTGCTTGGGCAGATAGTCAGAGACAGGTAAGACCCCTCAGAGGGGGGGAGAACCTAAGCCAGACAGGATCACTTGGGAGGCCATCATGGAAGGACTCGAGGAACTGCAACAAAGAGGGGGCGATGGACCCTCGCCCCCAGCTGTTGTGACATAGCCCGAGTCCCCATGTCCTCTGGGAGAAGTGCTTCCTGGCTCTAATCCACTTAAGCCTGAAAACCTGTGATGG